AGTCTAAATTCTAATTTATGATAGTAACAATAAGAACGAATTAAAAAATTTAATAACATTCTCTAAATTAAAAGAACAAGTCGGCAAAAGAGAGAAGTGTAACTCTAATTATCCTTAGAGAAGAGAAGGGGAAGTGTAATAGTTTACCATAGAAAGGTAACATGATGACTCTGATTATCCTTTAACTTTGATTTGTTGAAAAATTTACATTTCTGTACATTGTCCCTTTTGCCCCATCATAAAGCCTCATTTCGCCGCATTCGTTGACAAAATTTGCACGATCTTCCTCTACAAGCTACAATGAAATTAAAAGAAATTAAACGGTAAAAAACTTTTTGAATACTAAAAATTAAAATAGAGCCTGACTGATTATTGTTTTGAGAGAAAAATTTTCAATTGATGAAAATAAAGTTAATGTAAAAAAAGTACGCAAAAAGTTAATTCACTTATATTTAATTTATTTTTTTTTGAAGCAATTAGAGGAAGACGTATAATGCTTGTAGCTAATATTTATACAGTTTACAATAATATTTGCGATAATGGATTCTTCAATCCATTGACGTATTCAGTAGTAATGATAATCACATTATGATAAATCTAACTTCTTTCCTTTGCTCGATCAATTGATTCTTTTTTCGTATTTCAGCAATTTTCTTATCCAAAGCTTCCTCGTCCCTTCTGGATCGAACTCGTCCATGATTGGATATCAATTCAGGCTCTTTTTCTGCTACTTTGCCATTTTTTTCTTCTTTTTTCGCTATCATAATTTTCGCCAAAAAATACTGGCATATTATTTCTCGTTGAATTAAATAATTTATTTTAGGACGAAATATTGTCAAAATGTCATAATAAATGCTAACTTTTGATCATCCACCAAATGAGACTTCGAAGTCGTTCGGAAATAAAAAAAATGAATGCGATAGCACAGATTGCGAAAGATTTCAAAACATTAAAAAAGAAGCAAAAAAAGACTTTCAATACTCAATGAATGTAAATTTATTTTCCATATAACTTCCCTCCCATCTCATAAATTATATACAATAATGAGATGTATAATTTCTAATGACAATTTTCATTTCACGTGCAAAAGTATAAAAAGCACGAAAAAATTGAGGCCTATCGTTCAATAATATGCTCAAAGAGATGAAATTTACTATAATAAATTAATAATCTAAATTGCTGATAATTAATTCACTTCTAACGGATAAGTAACATCTTCAAATTAGTTTATTTCAAAAATTTTCGAAGAATGCAAAGTTCGATGAGTTGTAAGATTAAAAGTAAAGTGCAAGAAATGTACTGGAAAAGCACTTAACAAAAGTAACAAATGCAAATATTTTTGTACAAATCAATTTTTCAAATTTTAAATTTAAATATTTATGTTTATACATTATTCTATGTGCATGTACCATTTAGTACTTTTTACGCAAAACGTTATGTCATCAAATGTACATAGTGTTCATTTTTAGATGAAATGCAATGCAGTGTGTAATACTGGACAATATTTTTATTTCAAATGAATTAATAATTTGAACAAATTTTAAGCGAAGTTCTAGTTTAATTAAAAAATATTGAAATAAAATACTTAAATAAATAACAGAAATGAAAAGAGTTGTAAGAAAACAAAGAATTGATAGTATAATAAGTGCTCGAGAAGAGAGTGAAAAAGGAAAGGTAAAAAAAGGGATGGATTGATTGACGACAGGAATGAGTGAGGAATAAATTGGGAAAAAATGCGGAGGAGAAAAAAGCCGAAAACACCATCAATGCATTCATCCTCAGATCACCCAACAACTCCTTTCATATATAAAATATTTTTTTCTCGCATTACCGAACCGATCAATTTGAAATTTACGACCTGTTTTATCAAAAATTTTAAAAAAAGAGTTAAATTAGAAACATAAGAATGAATAAATAGTATTGGAGAAGGTAAAATTTGAATACTAAATTTATTTTCAAATTCATCTTAAAATATAAAGAACCATAAATGCTCTTTCTGTCAACAATTATTGTTTGGCTCGATGCCCATCTCACAATGATTTCGTCAATTCTTAGGAGATTACATTCGGCTATAAAAGCAAATGAGCCAAAGCGTATTCTTTGCAAGAATCGATGGAAAAATTTTGAAGCCAAGGATTCAATCAATAACTCATATCATTCTGTACATTTCTGTTTAGAGAGGAAAAAAAGTTAAACCAAAATAAAAATTCACTGAAAAGCTCTTCATGAACACAACTGAGAAATGGATGATTGAGCACTGTGAATGAGGCATAAGAAAGAATCGGAGAGAAAATGATGCTAATGTGATTCGTCACCACCATTATTATCATCATCACTATTGTTAATATTATTATTATCGTTATTGTTATCATTATTAAATTATCATCATTACTTCCAATAATACCAACAAACCAGCTCCGTTTGATCTTATTGCAAAAAAAAAGGAAGGAATTTCAAAGTGAGCCCATCCCACCACTATGCGCACATCCCGTACGGACAGAAATTAGACACACTTCGCAAATCAATAAAATTAAATTCGAGAATGGCATTACGAACTCTTTCACAATCATCAATAGTTCTCAATCGATAGCTTCGGGAAGCTCACAATCTAGTTTATCGATTTGCTGAATCTATCAAAAAGTTTCCGAGCTATTTGCTACATAACAGAAATATTTGTATACGTTTATAAAAAATTTTAACAGTTGGCGCCAGTTTTAAATTAGAATATCAATTTATCAGCCCTTTTTTTTCTTTTACATTTTGAAATTAACATTAAAATATGACAATCACTGCTATTTAATAGAAATATTAAAAATATTCTCATTTAACCAGCTAAAATTTCAATTTTGTGCAATGAATGATTATTTGAATTTAGATACATTTACATCATGCATATGTAAGTAAAACTGAAGATGGCAAGAGTTAATTTTTATTTAAAATGGAATAAAATTGAATAAAAGAAATTGAAAATGAAATGTTTCTTTTCTTCGTGAAAATATGCAAGAACCAAGGAATACAATTTATTGATTCATTCTTCCAATATTTTTTTGATTTCTGCAAACTTTTAGGACACATCCATTAATTGCAAAGTTGTGATTTGCTTCTTTCATTCGCTCTAAAGGACAATTTCAAATTCATTTGATTTTCATTCCATTGTTTTTTTCAATTCTTATACATTGAAGTAGTACACATATTCATTCTTGGTTAACTAAAATTTCATCATCATACTGAAAAAAAACGACTGATATTTTACGTCATTTTATCTTCGTTTGACTAATTACAGCCAACTTATCTATATGTTGTTTAATTATTCCATTAGCCTAATAATTAAATCAATTAACTATTTAGCAAATCAATTCCAAAAAAATTTGGAACAGGTAATACATCTGCATTAGATCCTGTCAAATGAAAAACAGTGGTTTATAAAAATAATCAATAAAGGTTCGATGAAAGTTATTCAGAAGTGATCTACAGAGAAAACGGTGTATTTATATATCTAATAGAATATGAATTTTTGAAATAATTTATTTTTAACAAAATGAAACATTCCTGTGTTATCGAAATGAATTACTTCTATTTGAATTTGATTGGATATTACTAATCTATTTGTATATAAAAAAATTTAACAGAAGTCAAGCTAATTTTGATTGACTTGTCGCAGTAAGAGTGTGATCTTTACTAATGATGCAAAAGTTTCAGGATTTTAATTTGAGGAATTTGTGGACAGAAAAAAGAATCAGTGAGAGAATGTGTCCATGTGTATGTGTGTATGTGT